AGCTAAAGAGAAAGAAACGAGAGAGAGATGAGACTTCATCTGAGACTTCATCTTCATTATTATTCATTTTGCAACATATGCACGTATTTATAGTGACACATAAGTCGGCAAAAAAATTTCTTGAAACTAAGATGATAAGTATCATTAATAATAAAATATTGTGGAGATGGATAAGCATTATATCTTTTATAACATTTAGATCTTTGTTTATTTTTATAGAGAAGCCCAAAAGGCAAAGTAATAAGGAAAGAGGCAATTGTAAAAGCTGACCTAAAAACTTACTTATTTCCTTATTTTAATGGAAGAATCAAGAAACACTTTAGTTTTCTTTCGAAAGTACAGATGGCTCATATCAAGCTTAGTAGTTACAAACGCAAACATGTTTTTAAAAACACAAACATGTGTTAGTAATACCTTCATTGGTGTGTTGTCACTGGTTGATTGATTTCTATAAAAAAAAAATGTTTTCTTTTTAACCTCTATAAAAAAATGTTCATTGTTGGCAGGTAAGAAGATTAATCAATGTATTTTATAACCGAAAGATGTTTAATAATCAATATTGCCATGTGACAAATAACATTAAATAAACTTTTGTTTTTCTTGCATAATAGTAACTAACCTTATCCCAAAAATGGCAATAAATATCAAACCAAATGTTACCCTCAATTACTGCAACTCACTCACATCATCATCATCCTCTAACTCATTACTCTCTCGTTTTCGGGTTTTATTGAGTGACTGAATTTTAAACCTGGAGTGTCTTGATAAAGATTTTCAAGAATTTGTGATAGAAATCATATTTTGTGACTCTGCTTGATGTTAATCATTGTCCCCAGCAACTTTTCTTTTTAATATAGTTTGTTCTTTTTGTATCTTACATTAGATCAAGATTAATATTTGTTTTGTACAATAACAAACAAAAATCATCGTACAGTTTAATTTCATCCGAAATTAAACCGAATCCAAATCAGTTTGCATAAGAAAAACACCGAGAAAATTGTGGAAAATGATATATTTGTGACGGAAATTTTTTTCCGTTAAAGAATATTTGACAGAATTTACCGGCAACAATGTCTTGGGATAATGGAAAACGATTGGTCCCAGAGGCGGATGTGTAGAAATTGATGTTTTATTGACTTGAATGTTTTATCTTACAAAGCAATGTATTTATACAAGGTAATCAGACGG